ATGCCCGTTGCCTCCTACTTCTTTCCTCTATTTCCTTTTACTTTCCTCTTGTCCCACCATCATGCTCAGCCTTCATTTGGGTTTTAGTAATTCCTCTCGGTTACACTGCCCTGGATCAAGCCCTACCAGGCCTTCTATAGCCTCTTTGCCACCCATTTTGGATCACTTGTTCTCTTGTCCCTGGTTTCTTAACACCCACTTCCTGCATGTGAAAGTTGGGCATTTAATAAGGAAGACGGAAGAAGCATTGATACGTTCGAATTTGTGTTGCTGGTGAAGAATTACTGAGCAATAAGTGCAAGGTGGGCAGAAGGTGGCAAAAGGTGTAATCAGATGGCAATCTCTATTCTGTTTTTCTTTACTTTTGTTTTTCTTCTTGGGAGCAAAACTAAAGAAAGTGGAGGAGAATTTTTGAGTGGCACACATGGTTCAGTGCTTGGCCTTTAGCTGTTAAGGTTGGTGATTTTAACCTGCTCAGAGGTGCTTTTGAAGACAAGCCTGGTAATCTGCTTCCTGAAGTTACAGCCTTGAAAAGCTACACAGCAGATCTCTTCTGCACGAGGCTGCCGTGAGTAGGCAACTAACAATGACAGCAGTCTTTCAATTTGGGTATTAGAAGAGTTAAGTGAAGAGTGAAGGGTTGAATATATCTGAAGTGTTAAAGAGGGCAACTTTAAAGTGGTGAATCAAGGTCTTTAATCTAGACAAGAAGTATGGAATAGGTAGAAGTAAGTCATGCACTACATTATAGGTTTCAGAGATTGCCATAAAAAAGTTGGAGAAATGTGATTGCACAACTATATTCATTATTTTTAAATTAATGAATTGGAATGGTCAAGTGAATTTTATAATTTAATAGCACGCAAACGAATTTGGCCCAGTAAAACTTAGGAAACAATATCCCCCTAAATAGTACTTTGAGATATTTACTAAGCAAAAATATGTTTTGTGACTTTGAGGTCACTTAATTATGGTCATTTTCCAACCCACTTCCCTCCAAACCCTGGGTCAATTACTCAGAATCAATGTGTGTTCTGTTGTTCTCGGAGCACCAGAACTGTTACAAAATGCTTATGGCTCACCAAAACCCATGGACCTCTTATCAAATGCTGCTTGGTAACTAAATCTTATCACAGTTTTATTAAAAAACCCAAAGACATAAGCCAAAAATTTACCAAACTCTATGATTTGTGAATTATATGTCAATAAAATGGTTAAAAACTTAAAAAATAACAAAAACATTGGACAAATAAAATTAAAAGAACGTGTACTGATATATTGAAACTAAGTAAAAATGACAGGTGGAAAACCAGACTCCATCATTTCACAAGATATATGATAGTAGGTACATTGCTTTGTTTTGGAGGTTCAGTATCATTGTGCAAGAATGGGAGATAATGAAACTAGCCTCAGAGAGTTGCTGGGATCATAAAGCACCCAGCAACCCTTACTATACTCAACATCCTCTCCATTCTTCTTTTCTTTTATTAGCAGGGACATCTATTTTAAAGACTGTAGACTTTATAACAGCAGCTGCTTTGGGAAGGCTGTTACTGACTGAGTACAAGAGAATTATAAAAGATGTAACAGATGTGCAAAAGTACAGCTGAGATAAATATGTTTAATTCTCTGTGTGTGTGTGAGACAGAGGGCAAGAGAAAGAATATTAAAAAGTCTTGAAATACTGCTGAAATTACAACAATATACTTCAAAAATAACATAAGACAGGAGATCCTTCTATTCATTCTACTAAGGGAATAATTGTTGGTAGTACTTTGGATAACTAGATAACATGCAAACGGCTTGACTACCTGGAGATAATAGCAGTTGACTGACTGGTATCCAATCTGAAGACCTGTAGGTCACCATCTGAATTTTCAAGGGGATCTGCATGTATTCTATGAATAGAGAGATGATGTCATTGGGAGTCAAAATTAGAAAATAAAACTGAGAAATATAAAGGCTGAGGAAAGAGGAGGAAGATACAGCTGCCTCCTAAGTATAAAAGTTGGATCTCCTGTCTTCTATTTATACTCATTCCTTAGATTGCTTCATCCCATCTCATGGTTTAAAATACTCTCAGACGTGCTGATAACTTCCATACCATGGGTCTATCTTTACCCATGACCTTTCCTTTAAACTCCAGACTATTATGTTCAATTGTCTATTCAATATTTCTAATAGTTCTTGACTTCTACTCCCTGATCTTTCCCATTGGGGAAAAATTTTTATCCTTTTAATTTCTCAGGTCAAAACCTTGGAGTTCTTCTTGACTTTTGCCTATATGGTCTTTCAGTTCATTAGTAAATATTGTTGGCTCTACTGGCTAATAATAACCAGGATTGGATTATTTTTCATACTCTTCACTGCTGCTACTCACATCTTACTCACTGTCATTGATTGGATAACTCATATAAGACAGGGTAGAGCTTTCCCTGTGGGTTTCCAAGACTGTAACTCTTTACGGGAGTAGAGAGCTGTCTTTCTCCTAAGGAGAGCTGGTTGCTTTGAACCCCTGACCTTGCAGTCAACAGCCCAATACATACCCTCTATGCAACCAGGGCATCTACCTCTTACCAAAGTACTACAATAGCCTTTGAGCTAGTCTTTCTGCCTTCTCCTCAGACCCTTCTATTCTCTATGCCACAGAGACGCTAGACTAAAGAAGCTAAGTTTAAGATGTTATATTATCCCTTATTTAAAACTGGCCATTTAAAATGACCCATCTTCTGGTTACGTCTCTATTAGCATCTCCTTTTATTTTGCCCCTTGCCTGCTATACTTCTGCCATATTCACCTCTATGCTGTTCAAGCATGACTAGCTTTTCCATTTGCTGCTCCCTCTGCCTAGAAAACATGTCTTCCCATGTGCCATACAGCTGCAGTGTCTTCCGATTTACATTCAGATGCAAACCTTATCAGTGATCCACTGATATCTATAATAGAAGACTATCAATTAGATTTAGACAGGAAAATGGAAACAATGTAAAGTGACCAAAATCTTCACAACTGGACCAATAGATAACATCATGAAAAACAAAGAAAAGGTTGAAGCTGTCAGGGATGTTATATTGTTTGGGTCCACAATCAACACTCACAAGGCAGCAGTCAACAAATCAAATGATGAGAGTTGGGGAAGGAGGGGGGGAAAAAAAAGAAAAGAAATCAAACGATGTATTATTGCTTTGGCAAATTTATTGCCCACGACGTCTTTAAAGTGTTAAAGAGCAAAGATATCACTTTAAGGTCTAAGGTGTGTCTGACTTAAGCCAGTACTTTTGATTGCCTCACATGCATGTGACAACTGGACAATGAATACAGAAGACTGAAAAAGAAGTGCTACCTTTGAATTATGGTGTTGGGGAAGAATACTGAAAGTACAGTGGAATGCCGGAAAAGCAAACAAATCTGTCTTCAAGGAAGTACAACCAGAATGACCCTGGGAAGTGAGGTTTGTGAGACTGCATCAGATGGACAGGTTATCAGGAGGCCAGCTCCAGGAAAAGGATGTCATGCTCTTAAGAGACTCATAGGACCCCAAGATTAGGGTCCTTACCCTTCTGGTCTAGAACTGAACTCACCCCATGTTGAAACAATCAACTATTTAAGATCAAAGGGTAGCATTTACTCAAAGACAAAGTTCAAAGGGTTGGGAAAGGAGGAGGACTGGAAACAGGAAACAATATTCTACTTTGGGGGGAGGGGGTGTTTCTTTCCCTTACAAGCCAAACAACTTATAAAGGTCATAAAGGCTTTTGAAAATTTCCATTTTCTAAACTTCCAAAAAAAAAAATCACAGTAATGAATGATTTATTTTTAAAATAAAATTAGAGATTAATAAAATAAAGAAATTCTGTTACTTTTTCCTTTACTGTTAAAGGAATAACTTTTTAAACTCTGAACTATTTTGGTTATGGTAAAAGGTTTTGATTTCAGCAGATTCATTTTTCAATATTTCCAGTTCAAACTTAGGGCCTATGATTGATGTTTTGTACAGTGTAAGTTAAGCTCTTTTGAGAGTCCTCAGAAAAAGACTAATTCTCTGCCAAAATCAGGCGCCAAATGACATTGTGAGACATTCTGAATATGAATAGCATGCCCCTAAAGATGCTATCTTTAAAGGAAAATGCTGGTCATCACACCTTCCTGGTGATTAAGTCACCTGAACATTTAGCAAGAAGAAGGGATTGCCATGGTGTCATGAGTCATTGAATTACTCCTTCACAAAGGCAAGCACATCATCACAGCAGCAGGGCAGGCACAATTCAATGTCTTGATAGTACTGAGTTTGTGTGTTTAAATATCTACAGTTAGTAGATAACTTTTTTTTAATGTGTTCCAAGAGTGGGAAGATATTGGCTGCAATATTTCATTCTAATATATGGATTTCTTAATATGTAGTTTCCAGTTCTTTCTTCCTCTCATCTTATTTATCTGAACTATCCTAATGCCAATCTAGTGTTCCTTATTAAAGGAACGTGACCCATTGGCAAGTTCTAATTCATGTATTCTATAACACAACAGATGTTACAAATACTTTATCTGAAACCATCCCCACCACTCCCCACCACCCCCCTTTTTTTTTTTACCTCATTCCCTGTTGACATGACTGCAACCACTGGAAATTTATTAACTTCAACCTCTGTGACACCTACAGTTGCCAGGAGACCAATCTCTGAGGGGCCCATGTGGGTTCCTTTGGCCAATACGCATTCCCCTCTTTTAATGTCATGGCCGATGGGTCTGAAAGTCAAAGCAGAACCGTAAGTGGTGTGAGTAGGAATGGCATTTTCTCAACTCAGAAGGTAACTTGAGTGTCAGAGAAGAACGCTCACAGAGAAAACAAGGTGACGAGACAGGCAAGGATAGGATAAAGGAATGAAAAGATTCTAAAAACTCTATGCTTTGTGTATGTTTAAAATAAAATTGCACAATGGGAGACAAAAAGTTATTTAGAATTTTAAAATTATTTTACAAATTGTTTTGTACTACATTATAGTTAAAAACTACAAACTTTCTTTGATATAAGGTAAGAATTTACATTGAAATGGTTTGTGGTATTCATAAGAAGTCCATAGCTGAATTGCACTGTAATGAAGAGAATAACACAAATGAGGTTGCAGTGTTAATTTCAATTTGGATCACTTAGGTTGGCCTTGTTCCGGGGCCACAGAGATTCAGAGGTATAGTCACCTTAGTCTGCCACCATTCAGATGAAAGAAGTGTAACTTTGTTACAAAATATATTTCATTGTAAGAATAATAATTTAAAGTATATGCACTATTAATGGTAGAGCAGTAGACTAGTTTTAGTATATAAAGAGAACCAGGTTATTTCATTATTATTGGTAATCAGTGAATGGGCTACAAGCTAATTGTGTAAATACTGAAATCTGGGGCTATTTGTACGAATAGCAAACTGGCTTATCTAAGAGGGTAGGGTTGGATAATTCAGGCTTATCTAGAAGTAGAGTTGGACAGTTCTGGATTATCTATGGGTAGGGTTAGCTTTAGATCATGCACACTCATGGATCTGCCTTCTTCACACACTGCTCTTGAATATTCCATTTGCCTTTAGAATTTTCATTAAAAAGTGAGTAGAACAGACATAGGACGTATAATTCAGAAAATTCATTTCATTGCTTGTTAATAGCCCTGAAAATAACAGCTAATTTATGACATTACAGATTATAAAACAGTCATACGCTCCTGTGTTGTCTATACATTCTATATGTTATGAACTTACCTGATATCTTGGCCTGGCCGAGCTTGCACCAGAATTCGTACTTCAAGTTCTTCAGTGCCCTATAATGAGAGAACATCATGTAATTTTAAACAGAACTAATGATCACAGAATTAATCTATTCAGGTACTTATCATCAGACAGGCCCAGAATATATAAAACTATAGAGAAAATAAAAACTGTTTGCTAAATCTTTGAAAACATGATAGATTCCTATCATGTTTGGTTCCTAAAAGATAAGGCAGCTTTGTGCCAGAAAATTAATCAAGTATCTTCTTGTTCACTTTTTAAATATAGTAATGAACCTTGCTTTGTAAGCAGCATTTGCAAGGGGGAAACACACACACACACACACACACACACACACACACACACACCACCATCGCCACCCACATCGAAAAAGGTTTAGGAAAAATTCCATTATCTTTCAGTTTCCATTTTTTCCATGAACTTTTCACGTGCGTGCGTGCGTGCGTGTGTGTGTGTGTGTGTGTGTGTGGTGTAGTAGGTTATACATTGGGCTGCTAACCACAAGGTCAGCAGTTCTAAACTAACAGCATCACTGCAGGAGAAAGATGAGGCATTCTATTCCATTAGAGCTACCATCACGGAAACCCCACGAGGCAGTTCTACCCTGTCCTATAGGGTCGCTATGAGTTGGAATTGACTCAATGGCAGTGAGCCTGAATTTTAATATATTTATATAAAATGAAAGGTCTTTATCTTGTGGAAAATACCTACAAGAAAAAACAGCACGAATTAACAGAAATGTATACCAAAATAAGCTTACACTATCTTGCTATTAACAAGCCTGATCAGGATCCAGTTTGGTACCAAGATAGATAAGACATGAGTTTGAAAAGAGCCCCTATAAAGCCAACTTTATAAAATGAAAGCAAGAACAAACATTAAATTTATGGTGAAGCTTGGGGAAGAAATGGTGAAATCGATGCTTAATTAGCAAGGTTATGGGGACAATGCACTGAAGAAATCAGCAATTTTCAACTGGAACCTTGCTTTAAGAAAGGATCAGATGATATTGAGGATGAAGCCCAAAGAGGCAGACCATGCACATCGATTTGCAAGGAAAAATATAATTTTGTTCATGCCTTAATTGATTGACAGCATGGAACAATAGCTAATACCATAAATATTTCAATTGGCTCAGCTTATACAATTCTGATTGAAAAATGAACGTTGCGCAAAATTTCCACTCGATGGGTGTCAAAACCGTAGTACCCAGATCAGCTGAAGACAAAGGCAGAGCTTCCGATGGAAAATTTCTAAACAAACAGAAACAAGATCCTGAAGCATTTTCGGGAAGAAAGTGTAAGAGATGAAATGCGGCTTTACCAGTTGTTCTGAAGACAAAGCATATCCAAGCAATGGCTACTGACTGGTCAAGGGCAAGTTCATGCCAATAGGTGTTTTTTTTTTTTTTTTTTTTTTGATGCTCAGAGAATTTTGCTTGTTGACATTGTGGAAGACCAGCAAATGATAATATCTACTTAATTAGGAGGCTGTTTTGAGATTGTTAGACAAAGCTTTAGCAGAAAAACACCAGGAAAGGATTAATCAGAGAGTCTGTTACTCCACCTCAACTATGCTCTGGCTCATTCCTTTCATCAAACAAGAGCAATTTTGTGAGAGTTTCTATGGGAAATCATTAGGCACCTACCTTAAAGCACCGATTTAGCTCCTGAATTCTTTATTTTCTCTGAAAAGCCACCAAAGGGTACCCATTTTTTTCAGTTACAAATAATGTAAGGAAGACTGCATTGACATGGCTAAATTCCCTCAGTTCTTGAGGGATGGATTAAATCACTGCTATCAGAGCTTAAAAATGGGGGTTATATTGAGAAATAAAGTTTATATTTCTTATTTTCATTTCTAAATTCCATTTTCCCACAAACTGTTTAAAGTCCTTTTGTATACGGCTATCCTATGGATGTGCATGGAGGCAACCTCTCTTTTATTCCTATGCATCATGGGCTTGGCACTAAGTCAAAGTTCCCAAATAGCTCCAGAAATTTCAATGAAGGACTTATAGTTTGCCTAGCAGATTTCTGTAAATTAATGGTGATCATCAATTTTACACTCATGGGCTGTGAATAATGTTGTGACACTGGAATGGGGTCTCTTCATCTGGCAGAGCCTGTGGATGCATGTGCTCTGGATTTCAATGCTCTGGTGGTTTCTCCAATGCCAATAAATCTGTTTGGACAATTTTAACAGCAGACAATGTGATCTGCATTCCCAGGAGTTGAATTTTACATGCTCTACAAGTTGATTAAAAATTAAATGATCAGATGAAGGAAAGTAGTTTTCTTTTAGCACAGCTGAGTTTCACTTCATTCCCAGCCCATGAGAATATGTTTATTATCAATATCAATATTTTACATAGAAGATATAGTAAACTTCTTTACAAATAAGTAAGATAGCCAGTCATTTAAACCTCAGTTGAAATGATTCTACTTAGCAAGTGGTTGATACTATGGTTTCAATAATTTCTCTGAGTTTCAGCAAGATGAAGATTGCTTAGCTACCAGATCCTCGCTTTTAGTCAACAGAGGGGAAATGACACTCAATATCTCATGACTTTTACTCAGTAGTAGTTCCCCCCAGAATTACAGAATGTCAGAACTAAAACCATGGTTTGGTTCAAATGCTTGATTTAATGCAATATTCAAGAACTAGTTCAAGTGTTCTTAGTTAAATTCTTCTCTATCAAATTATGAATGCATTATAACTACTTCATTTTTTCCCCAGAACAAATTTCTCAACAGTTAATATCTTTGCTCTTAAGACGGTCTCCACTTGTTTGTACTTAATTTCTTGGGGACAAATATAGTTTGAATCCTTCTATAATGAAAGCAATGGTCATTAAAAACCCAAACTCTCATATTACAAAAAATTTCCAAGACTTACGCTATTCCTTATTTATTGAAACCATAGTGTTAGGACCCCAACATAACCCCAAATACTGAATTAATTTCATAAACATGACAGAAAATATTGCCAGAAAAACAACGGAGCGATAAGACCTGGTAATGACGTACATCATCTGACTCCCTGATAAGTTCGGTGTCTTCCACTTGGACGACTGCGTCAGCACCGCAGGGGATTGGAGCACCTGTTGTAACCCGCATGACTTGTCCCGGCATCACTGTTTGAGTTGGCTGAAACACAAACATGTAATAGAGCTGATTTCCTTTGCTACAGCAAGGGAGACTTCTGGAGGGGATGTAACATTTTTAGAAAAACAAAAAACAAAAACCCAAAAACATGTACAACGAAAGTCTTAGAATTTTACTCATTTTGGGACAAAGTAATATACTGTATATACTCGAGTATAAGCCAACCCAAATATCTGCTGAAGCACCGAATTTTACCACAAAAACTGCATTAAAAAATGTGCTGAAGAACTCAGCTTATACTTGAGTATATACGGTAAGCTATCCTTAAACAGGTGTATTTACTACATCAATATGCTCTAATTTGATTAAAGCTGACTTTATATGCTCTTTAAAGTAATGGCTCTGAGATCTGTCCCCCAGTGAGCCTTTTGAAGAGCTGCCACTTATATTCTCCACTCTTGTCTCTCATTTCAATAATCAGATATTTTTTTTTGCTATCTATACAGAGATTTGAGAACCTGTAGGAAAAAAATAATGGAAAATATAATTTTATAAATGGCAATTTTGAAAAACAACACCTTGGTGATTCACTGAGTTTCTGATATTTGATAAATGCTTTATTACTTAAATCTTTTGCTTTATTACCTCAATCTTTTGGTTAAATAAAGACAAAGCAAATAAACCAAACATTT